AATTCGGTCTATAAGATAGTGGCTAAATCCTCAATAGAATTTTATTGGTCATTCCAAAAATTATTTCGGTAGAACAAGTGGCTTTCTTGAAACGGAGATCACTCTTTCTAGTGGCACAAGAAATATTTCACAGGTTTAGACATTCTAAATCTTCAAAAGGAATGGTAGCATTCAAGATAGATATGGAGCAAGCATATGATTCTATGGGGTGGCAAACCTTGGTTAAAATTCTTGATTACTTTAAATTCCCTATCAATTTGGCTAACTTGATTATTGAATGAGTCATGGAGCCCAAATTTTCTATTCTCATCAATGGATCTTATTCCAAGAAGATTGAAGCAAAATGTGGATTTCGTCAAGGTTGTCCTCTTTCTCCCTTTTTATTTGTTATGTGTACTCAACTTCTCTCCAATGCATTCTTTCTTAATGGAAATACTATTGGTATTGGAATTTCTCCAAATGGACCAAAAGTTTCTCATCTTTTGTACGCCGATGACATTATTGTCTTTTCTAATGCACAATTAAAATCTATCAAAATTGTTAAAAAGATTCTTATGGATTTCTGTGGTTGGACGGGGCAAAGAATGAATTTACAGAAATCTTGTATTCTTTTTGGACTTTCTGTGAAGACAAGGTTGAAGAAAAAGATTTGTAAAAAAATGAAGTTCAGAGAAATAAAGGAGTTCATGTATTTGGGAATCAAAGTGATGCTAAGAAGGATTTATAAATATGATTATCAATTTCTTATTGATAAAGTGATGAGCATGCTTGGTGTTTGGGGAGGTAAACTCATCTCTCTTGCTGGAAGAATATCTTTGGTTAAATCAGTGCTTTTATCTTATCCTACTTTTCATTCTACAAACTCATTGGTTCCCAAACAAGTGCTGTTAGAAATTGACAAACTATGTAGAGGATATATATGGAACAAATGTGATGGAAATGCAGGTCTTCACTATGTTAATTGGGATATTTTGTGCAAACCTAAAAGATATGGAGGTATGGGCATTAGTTCTTGTTCTAATAAAGCTGGGCCGTTGAGATCTAAGCTTGCATGGAGATATATTCAAGAGAAAGAATCTTTACTACATAAAGTTTTATTTCCGAAATATGGGAGTAATATGGCAGAGGATTCTGGGAGAAGAAATGTCTCGGTTGCATGGAAAATACTTTGCAATGGATTCAAATACTTGAAGCCAATTATCAGAAGAACAGTAGGAGATGGAAAAACAATAAATGCATATGAAGATGTTTGGGTTGTGGATAAAAGCTTCCAGCTTTGGCCTACTTTTATCAAACCAATGGAATGTAATAATTTAATGGTGGAGAATTTTATAAAGAACAGAGCATGGAACATTCAGAAGATGAAAGAATATTTTGGAGATGATATAATTAATCTGATAACCCTACTGTTTTATGTAACGGTGAGGATAATTTTGAGCTCATCTACAAGCTATCAGGGAAAACTATTTATGCACTAGCTTCTGAAGCAATGAATGCTGAAAAAACAGAAAATGTTATGTGGATACGATTTGAGAAAATGAAGATCAATCCAAGGGTGAAGGTTTTTTGGTGGAGATTGATCAACAATGCAATTCCAACTTATCATTTTCTTTGCTACAGGAGGATGCAAGGTTATGATAAATGTCCTAGAGGATGTGATGAAGTGGAGAATAATGTGCACATCATATTCCGTTGCAAAAAGATAAAAGAAGTTGTGGCTGTTTTAAACAAATGGGGTTTTGGGATTCCATATTTTAGCTCCATGGAAGATTGCTTCTTATGGCTGGATTTGCAAAATTCATGGATGAAAACTCTGTTTTGTAATTCTATATTCCAATCTTGGAAGGCAAGGAATATTTATATTCATGAAGGAAGAAAAATCAATGCGGTAATGACTGCTTCTCAAGCAGTGTGTAATTCAGCAGTTTTCAACAATAATGGCTGCGCAAATTCAAGTATAGAGAGTGTTAATCAACCACATTGGTTGCTGAATTCTTGGCATTCTCCTCCACTTGATTGGATTAAAGTGAATATAGATGCTGCTCTTCACAATTCTTACAAGGCCGGAGTAGGAGGGTCTTTAGAGATCATCATGGGAGATTTTTATTGGCTTTCGGAGAGCCTATGATTCATTGGGATGCTTCTGCTGTTGAACTTCAATCTATCCTTGCTCTTAAACTAATATTCAAGGATTGGATGACAAACTATAAAGGACTTATCGTGGAAGGAGACAACATGAATGTGATCAACTTCATCAAGGATTTCGTGAATAAAGGAGGTAACGAAGAAAATGACATTTCTTTTTTTAAAGCTTTTGATTATGTTATTTTTAAACATGTTAATATGGAAAGTAATAAGTTAGCGGATCTTTGTGCTAACTATGCTTGCTTTGGTTCCTTTTTGTGGAACGATTTGAGCTTGAGTGATGTCCCTCCTTATTTCATCAAATTGTTGAAAAAGGAGTCGGATGATTGTAGTAGATAGTTACTTGCTTTCCTTTTTTCAATAAAGCTTTATTGCTTAGTCTTCAAAAAAAAATGAATGAAGATATAATAAAAATTACCAACAAAATTAATGATTCATGACCTTTCTCAAGATATTAGGACTACAAGAAACATTAGGGAAGAGATAGAACATTCAGCATTTCTCTCAAAAATTGCACCTATAAATATAAATGAGATTTACAAGATAATTTTTAGATAATTATTATGGAAGAGAAATTTAATCAATTTATAAGAATTAATGTTTGGGAGCTAGTCCCAACACGCTATAATCAAAATATAATTAGAACTAAATGGGTCAATAAAAAAAGCTAGATGACTCGGAAAGTATTACTAGAAATAAAGCTAAGTTAGTTACACAAGATTACACGCAAATAAAAAGATTAGATTTTGAAGAATCTTTGACACTAATAGCAAGATTTTGAAGAATCTTTTCGAACTTTTCCCAATACTCCATCATGGCCCCCTCTTGAGTCAAGGCATAGAATTGCTCATGGAGGTCCGCTTGCCGAAAGTCTCAAAAACGTTCCAACAAACAATCTTTAAATTCTCCCTAGGAATAGATCGGATACGTAGCTTCTCTCCATAGAAACCAAGCTAGGGCTTTTTTTTCTAAACATGGTCCTGCCACCATGAGTTTTTTCTCCTTTATCAGACCATTGATGACATAGTAATGCTCCACATGGTGCACGCAACCTTGAGCATCTTTCCCTTCAAATACTGGCATCTTTAGCTTCCTTGATCTTGCATCCATCCCCCAATGGTTTCTTCCTCCATTGGTTCCTACCGTGTAGTGGTGGTGCAATTCTCTTTCTTCTTCCCTTGGCGGATTTGGACCCCATGGTTCGGCCCAAACATGGCTTCTCTTGTCCATTTTTCTTACTACCCGAATGTTCTCTAAAAGGGGTAGGTCTCCCCTCCTCTCGCTGCCCGTTCTTCCGGATACCCTGATGCACCTCCCCTTGGGTTTCCCCAGGGTGGTCCACTTCACATCCTCCTCCAGAACTTTCTTTCCCTTCCAATCATCCCTAAGAGTAGCAAGTGAAGCCTTCAATTGCATCTCGATCAACTTCTTTATCATGCATTTCATGCTCTCGAATTAATTCTCAATTCGATTTTCCATGGATGATAGTCTCCCTTCCACCGTTGTGAACCTCCCTTATATCCCGGAATATTTTTCGTGCATCTCAGCCCTGAATTGTTCCATCTCTCCTTCCACAGCCTCCATCTTCTTTGCTATCATTTATGGATCCAGGTTACAACCAACAAAATCAAACAACAGAAAACGACGAGATAGTCTTTAAAAAGCCAAAAACAGCCAAAATGGAGGAGACATGCAACAGAATTCAGCGAGAACTTGAGATCTTGGTCGAAGACACGACTCTGATACCAATTTAATATGCCTTAGAGTCAATTTCAGTAACCAAAGAAATCCACAAAAAGCAAGCCAAAAATAGCATATTTAGTGGGAATAGAGGCTAATTTTTATTAATAACACAACAAGAAATAAAAGATACAAGCGATTTACAATTAGAGAGGTGGATCGACTCTCCCAAACAACCTAATCGCCACTAGGAAGTCCTCACAAAAGAAAAACCACAGAAAACTACAACAAACTCAAGACATGCATGCCCCAAAATAAACCCTAGATCCCTCCATAAATAAGCTGTCAAATTGCCTAAAAAACATATTTGTTTCCTTATTAATTTTCCTTTTTTAATTTAAATTCAATTTGGAAATATTTCCCACTTGATTTAAATTTAATTAGGAAATCTTTCCCTCTTAAATTCAATTAGAAAATCTTTTCTAATTTATCCGCCCTTTAATTCCTCTCCTAACATAATAAATTAATTTTTTATTGAGCCCCACAAGGGGGCCCAAATCTCCACCTTGGTTCTTGCCAGGTCCGCCCCACCCTTTTCTGTCTCCTCTGCTGCCATATCAGTATTATAGGTAAAACCCTTGGAGAGTTAAGCCAGAGGCCTGAGTGGTTAAGGTTTTATAATTTTTATCACATACTTCTTCCACCAAAATGCATGCTCACCTTTTTATTATTTTTCTAGAAATAACTAGAAATTTGTTTCTTCCATAAAAATTGCAAACGATGCATGATGTCATGACAATTTGGCTTGTTGACAATTAATTATAATTAATGAAAGATTTATATGTAATTGCAATTAAATTATTATTAGTATCCTTTTTTTTATTCTTAAGCTTTTAATATGATATTTATGATATTATACTTAATTTTTTGATACTTTCTATTAAAATAATTGACACATGTTTTTTTATTACACATTTTATATTAAAATTTTATAAAATAAATTATTTTTGGCTAGGTGATGTCACTATATTAGCGTCTCACGTCAGTATCCATGCTTTATTAATGAAAATATTATTTACAAGGAAGCATAGCATAGGTAATAGCCAATTACATCTTAAAATTTTCTTAAAATAATGGTCGTCTCAAAATCTATATCAAGAAAGGAAAGAATATACCTCAAGTAAAGCATCTTGATGTTCCTTGCATGTGGTATTTAAAATACGTGATAGGAGTTCTTGCTGCCTCCATCCTCTAAAAATGCGTTGGCCATGTATATGTCTCCTGTTTCTTATTTTTCTACACTCTGACCATCTATGATATTCATCAGACCTATAAAATTTTCCATAATAGAATGATAATACATCGCCCATCCTTTTAGTCTCCATAAATTTCTTTACCTGAACGAGATTTTTTCCAAATATATAAAGGCCAAGAAGGAAACTTTGCTTTTCTGCATCACTCCAAGATAGAGTTGACAAACCAGGCAATGGATAAAAGTCCCCAAGATTCCTATTCTGCAGAAAAGACAAACAAGAAGGCTTCTGACCCTTATCACCCACCATATGATTTGCTGGAGGTGCAACATGAATATCCTGATGTAATGAGTTGAGAAATTCAACATTGCATGCAAATCTCTGAAGAAGTTTGCCAGCAAGTTCTGGGTTTTCAAGAGCAGATCCACTGGGGTTGAACTTACAATCAACTTGAGTACTGCTAGTGTCAAGTAAATGTGCTGATCCTTTCATGCCAACAATACCCACATTGGAAGATTCCTCTTTTTCATATCTGATCTTGATATTATCAACTGCACACTGAACCCAATTAACTGGAATTGCTAATCCTACTCCAAATTTATCAATGGCAGGCATTTTGGCATCATCATATGAGATCTGAAACAGCACTGATTTTGCTTCTGCTGGTGGGATTTCAACCTGATACTGCTCTCCTACACGAGGAAATGGAAACGATTCATCATATATATCACAATTTTCGGGCAAACATGAAGAGTGTGAATCATCATCAAATGGCTCTGCTGAATGATTTCCGTTACTTTCTTGTTCGCTAGTATCCATCTGTGTAATATGGTAGGAAAAAGGTCATGAAAAATATAGATTTCGAGACTAATGAGACTTAAAAGCTTCATGAAACTCAGGCTGAATTACTGACGATCAAACGTGCTGAAGCTGCAGAGTAGATCAAGTAAGTCGATAGCAAATCACAAATACGAAAGCCTTTGTTGACAGTCGACACAAATTCTAACACTTGGCTGTGCTTCAACGTTGCAATAAACGAAACTGATTATATCTGCCTTACCCTTCAAAGTTTCAAACAGCTAGGATAATGAGCTTCTCATGAAATAAAAAGCATCAAATGCAAGGAAATATGTCAGTCAGAACTTATTACAACAGAAACTGATTCAAAGCCCCTCTTCAAGATTCTCTTATTACAAAATTAGTTGGTTACACATAAGCACGAGAACATGAAAGACAATAATTATTATACAGAAGACTAGTGAATGGGTGAATATAAATAGAAGTCTGATTCATGTATGCATGGCAACACAAATTTTGATACATGGAAAACCAGAAACAAGCCAGACTCAGAGTAAGTCGAAGCAAAATTCTGCTCAGTTAAAATTCCAATTATTTCCAAGTCAAGAATCTCCATTCAACATATATTACGGAGACCTCAGTTTTTATTCTTATCCACAACGCTAAATTTTAAAGTATGTTTCCGAGAAACTTGGGATGATCTAAATAAACAGATTATTTAACTTCATATAAATACTTAATCAAAAATTAATTATAAAAAGCCAGAATGGTGTGGTAAGAAACAATTATGGATAATGGTCATAATTTAAATATATATATATAGCCAACTAACAATAAATTTAATAGTTATTTCAGTATTGCAACTTTTGAAAGGAATATTTATTTCATCTCTAAGATTATATCCCAGTAATGCAAAAGCTAACTAATGCATTGATATAGCACAAACAGAGCACTTTCATCATAACACAAAATCAAAATTTGAGATGGCATCATCATGAATTGCACTTTGCAAAACAAGATCCAAGACTTGTCTTGACCGAATATTCGTGCCGACTCGACTCGAATCGAGCCAAATTGAGATTAATTGGGTCAAGTTGGGCTCGATCAACTAGATCGAACCCAATCAAGCCAATTATACTAAAGTCGATTAGAACACGAACTCAAATTGAGTCAAAATCAGCTCATTTGGTCAAATCCAATTCAAACCGACTCAATTTTAAACTCAATTGAAACTAATTGAGCATGGATTGAACTCAAATTCAACAAAATCCGGCTCATTTGGTTCAACCCTAGTCTTATTTTTGACTTTGCATGTTCCCAAATCAAAAAATTGTATCATTGGCTGAGATTATCTTAACCAACGTGATCTACCTCCCCCTACAAATCCCGAGAATTCTGGAATTTACGACAACTCAAGGAGTCTAGATATGAGGGAATGAGGTCATTTGTTTCTCTTCTTCATCTCCCAAAAAAAAAAGAACTTGAGTGAGACAACCAAGGACTTCCTCCTACGTGTAGCATCTATAGAGATCAGTGACTTTCATGCGTGCATACTAGGACTAAACAAAGAGATCAAACCTTTTGTTTTCATGTGATTCCTAGGACAAAAAGATGACCAATCACCTACTCTTGGCATGTGTTCCTAGGCCAATCGAACAGAAGAGAGTGACTAGGGTTCATTTCTTCTAGATGAAGCCGAGGGATATTAAGCAGCTCGCTGAAGTCTCCGTTTCTGGGCTTCTATTCACATGCATGTTCTTCTACAAGCGCTCCTTCCCAGTCTCGGGAGGTCAAATCAAGGACCTAAGCGTTAGGGGTAAGTTTGGATGGAACCAAGGCCGAAAAGTGGAGCGCAAGGGGATAGAGGAAAGGAGCTACCATTTTCGTCGTCCGAAATCAAGAGGAGCTACTACAGCTTCTCCTTTTCATGATAAAAAAAAAAATCAAAGATCTTCTCCTTCCTCTCATATCAATTCCAGTGAGGTAACGACGAAAGCGACGTCCAGAGCAACCCAAACAACGATTGTTCCCAGATTCAGTCGCATTTATCTCTTAATGATAAAGGTGTTATGGTTGGAACCATCGGACGAGCTTTGATGAGGTATATGTCTAAAACTTAGGAAGCTTTAGGTCTCCTGACCATTGTGGATGTATGTATGACACTCCTCAAGCCCTTAGGTCCCTAGAAAATTTGTTCCATGATCCCCAAAATCCCATGTGTCTGTTGTCCTCTCCACAAAACCATGAAAATCTGATGATTTTCCATGGGTTGCTCCTATTTGAGAGCTTAAAGAGGGTGGTGATGTGTGCCAGGTTATTGGGCTCGTTTCCAATGACCTTATAATGCATGAAATCACATTCATATTGCGTCCCGAACCTTTGCCTACAGTCAAACCTTGGGTTAGGAGTCAACATTTAATTCCAACTTGAACCACGATGCCTAGGCTTTGATTCATGCAATGTGCATCCCTCTCGTAGTAAATCACAAGTTAAAGCAAAAGTAACTTAATGATATAGGAATTTTACATCATGTAGCATTCTCATAGACCATCAAAGCTATGTTGTAAGTCCTATAGTAGGTGAAATCAATCAACTTTATTTTAGAAATTTAGGATTATGATAATTATGTGCTCTAATTTCTAAAACTCCTAAACAAAAATTACAAGTCATCTTCATGCACATCTAGGATTCATAGATCATGCCAACTTGATCCTAAAATTTTCCTAAAGTCATACATATGATAATCATTTTAAATTATTTTAAATCATTCTAAAAAAATTAAGAACCCTCCTTCAAAAGCCCTCCTCCCTCATGTATGATACTTTGGAGCCTCCCAAGATTTCAAACATCATTGCATGAACTCTAGGATCTCCTAGGAACTACCACAATCTTAGATAAATCCTAGGTTGCCCATCCCATTCGTTGAGCCAAAATTAATGAATAATACTTGCCTTTAAACATAGAACCAAAATCCTCGTCTCTTTCATTTGCTTAGCCCAAATTAAGCAAATGAATCTCTCTCTTTGAATATAAAAGTTCAAAGAGCTCTTATGATTGATTGCAAAAACTACATCTCTATGTCCTGATCGTCAACTGCATTAGCTTTACCCAAATTAAGCAAATCAAATATGCATTCCCTTGAGCACAAAATTGAAAGACACGTCATTGATTTGTAACATCAAAGATACAAACCATCCCTCATTCTTATGGTCCCAAAATCCTTGAAAACCCCCTTAACCCCCATAGTCTCCAAGTTATAGGTTACACTCTATTTTCCATAGCTCCAAGACAAAAGGAAATTCCCCAACCCTTTGTACAAAAACTTCAAATTGTATCATATTTTCCCTTAGACTAAAAATTATAGGAATCTTTCATCACCTTAGCTCCAAAGCTTTAGGTCTCTCATCACCATGGTTTAAAATTGCGCAATATGAGGCTCGCCTTGAGGCCCGCCTTTGCGCAATTCTAGTAAAAAACGCCTCGATGCTTACGCCTCGAGTTTTTGTTATGAGGCTTCGGCCTCAACTTGGTTGAGGCCCGCCTTAAGGCCCGCCTCGCCTCACTGGTATGAGGCTTACGCCTCACGCTATATATATTAAAACTTACATAAATCTTGAAGTAAATGCTCGACATTGGACTCTATAGGAGAGGAGGAAGGGGAAAGAGCAGTTCATCATAATGATGATTCAAATGAAGAACCCCTTAGTGATGACAGTTCTGATGATTTATGAGTTGTTATGTGATATGTCATTGTTATTTATTTTTAGAAATTGGAATTATATGTTAATGAAAAGAATATTGGGATTTGGGAAAGATAGAATTTTGAGTTGAACTATATTTCATGTTGTCTTATTATTGAGATATTTTGATTTCACTTCATATCTTATGATTTTTTATGTTTTATATTATTCACTCATTAGTATTTAAAAAATTTCTAATTTTATGTTTACGCAATCTTTTGATTTTGAGGCTTACGCCTCAAAACGCCTTGAGGCTTACGCCTCGCCTCACGAATGAAAAACGCCTCAATACCCGAATACGCAATTTTAAACATTGCTCATCACCTTCATTTACTTGATCCCTAATCAAGTAAATAATCCTCTAACTTTAGGTCCAAAGACCTTAGTTCTTTCTATTATATCAAAATAAAATAAGAGTTTCTTCTGTTTGGCCTCAAAGCCAAAGTTTATATGCTTAGCCCAATCAAGTAACTTGATTTTTATATGCATGTGATTGACTGTTTATTTCACTTGGGCACTAGAAATATATGTTTTTTTTCCAAAGTTTCTTCACTTGATTTGTGTGGAAATGGCTTGGATATGCTTTATATGATAGGCTCATTGGACAAAAAAAAAAATCTACAACTTAAAATTTAAACAATCTTAAAAAATCAACCATGGGATAACACTTGTTTCTTAGCAAAATTGCAAGGCTTATCCAAAATAAGATAAATTTTCAAAATAAAAATAAATACTCATATCATGGCTACATGAGTTGCATGTAGAAGCTCTCAAATTAAGGACTAAATCATAAGAAATATGTATTGTGAGTCAACATCTACATGCCAGCAAAGAGGCCCGCACAGAACCAAGGCGCCAAAAGACACAAAAAGGCCACCCAGCACGAAAGCAGCAGCCAACGGGGAAACCAAGGAGCCAAGGCACGGAAAACAACCAGCACAGGAAGCCCAAAAAATAGCCACGGAATCCCATGAGACAAGGATAAATTTTAAAGAGGAAAAGGGGAGCAGAAGGGACAAGACCACTCCAATAATGAATCCAACTTATGAGCTTACTTTAGAACATTAATGAGCTACTAAACTTCAGCTCATCATTAATGAGCTAGCAACTTTAGAAATTAAGCTCAACTCCAATAAACCATCCTCTTCCACACATCACCATAGGCTCCAAAACCGTAGACCATAAGCCAACCCGTGAACCAGCAGCAGCCAAGGACCAATCGAGCCAGCAAACCAAAGGTCTACCAAGCCCCAAGCACAACCTACCATGATCATTGAATGCTTTTCCATCATTGGATAGCTAAAAAAACAAAAGAAAAAAACATACTAATGTTCAATAAAAATACAGAATATTTGATAGCATCAATATCACTTCATGTTGTTCTAATGAAATTCATTGCACTTATACCGAGCAGTAGTATATTCTTCTATCGAATATATTATTTGGCATATTTGATGGTATTGGCCCAATAACACAATCCAAGTTTGTGCAATCAATAAATGCCACACACTACCCAAATGTTTTGGAACAAATCGTATGCTCCATGGTTCTAAGGGTAGAGGTCTCAAGTTTGAGTCTATCTTCTGTAGAGTTTATAAGCCTATAACTAGCCTTATGCCCAATATATAAGAAATAATATTTAAGATATAATTATATCCTTTAAAAAAAATGTCAAACATGTGCTCTCAAAATCTTCCCATAAACATCAAAAAAACATAAAAAAGGATATTATTAATAGAATTCAAGTTGGATGGTTGAAGTGGAGGAATGCATGGGGCTTGTTGTGTGATAGAAAAGTCCTCCTAAAACTTAAGGGAAAATCCTATAAGATGGTGGTTATACCTACAATGCTTTTTGAAAGAGAAAAGCATAATATTAAGTTAAGTGTTGTAGAGATGAAGATGCTCAAGTGAATGAGTGGCTTTACTCTAAGAGATAGAACATTAAATGATCATATATGTGAAAAGGTTGGAGTACCTCTAGCTGAAAATAATATTAGAGAGAGTCGCCTTACATGATTTGGTCACATAAAGTGGCGGCCTTCAGATGACCCGGTTAGAAAAATAGATGTATTAGATTTGTCTTATATTAAGAAAGGTAGAGGTATAACTAAAAAAATTTGGTTAAAAAATATTAGAAATAACATTTCTTTATTATATTTAAATGAGAATTTAACTCTTAACATGACAACGGAGAAAAAGTATTCTTGTAGCCAACCCCAAATAATAGGATAAAGGCTTGTTGTTGTTGTTGTTGTTGTTGTTGTTGTTGTTATCGTAAAAATGAAGTACAACATTGTTATTTATGCAATCAAACATACGTGTCACTAATATCAAGGTATGTCTTATGTGAAGGACAAAAAATTATGGCATTTTGTCATATTTCTGCCCGTAAAAATATGTTTGGAGAAGAATACTCACATTGAATCCAAAATGAACTTCGAATTCAAAAACATGCGCTCTACGGTTGTAAAATGTCTCTAACTAACTACAATTACAAATAAATACAGAATCGAATAGCCCAAATCCGACTTTATTGGACGGAAACAAATCAGGGAATAGCAAAAGCTCAAGGCTGATCTAAAATGTAACCAATCACTAAGACGTGAGTTTAAAAGAAGTTGATATAAATAACAATTCAGGTAGCGCAAATATCTCACTACACAATTAAACTTGCTCAAAACCCAACCACCTCCTGCATCGAAACTAGTTTACACCGGAAAAAAATCTCACAGTTGCAGAGTAATTATGATATCCATAGATTTAATGGAATAAAATCTACAAGTAAGAATTCTATTTTCAACTTTGACATGCAGAGCGCGAAGAAAAAACGGGGTAGGGGCGGACAGGGTTAGGGGAGTGGGAGTATCTAGTGGTTGAAGAAAGAAATGATGAAGCGTCAGTCAAGGCCGACGGTAGGGTTGCAAGAGTCGAAAAAAGCAAGAAACTGGAGGCTTAAAGCTAGACCCAGCCCACTATAGCGGAAAGAACGGCATGGGACGAGATGGCTACCTACCAAGCACTGGTGTCCTGAATGAAGCTTGCCCGGTATTCTTGAGGACGATAAGCGGAGAGGTGGATAATAGAGCACAGAGCAGAAAGAACTGAGCGGCGGATGGATATACCATAACCATAGCAGAGAAGTCTTCGTCCGAACGCGAGAGCGTTTAGAGGAAGAGAGCGATGGCACGCGAGAAACAGAGAGAGCGAGCGAGAGAGAGAGAGAGTGAGAGAGAGGAGGGGTCAGAAACAAATTTAATAATTTCATAAATTATAATGGAATTAGCACGAGATAAACAGTTTTAAAAGAAATTGACGTGATTGCGATGGGCTTTGCAGTGAAAAGGGTTTGCTGCTTGCTGTTTGGTGCATTGCATGATCAAAATAACTGTGTTGTTAGATGGAGATTTTTATTTTTTTTTGGGTTCAATGAGCGCAGTGCATAATTCAGGCTTGGTACTGATTCTTCATTTTTAAAACGGCAAAATTAAAAAAAAAAATTATTTTTGGTGGAACCATTTTCGCTATATCACGTTCAGCACAACTCCATTTTCCATCGAAACGCAAAATCTATTCCCCATCTCCTTTTCTTCGGCAGTCCGTATTCATCCAGAGTGAAAAGCCTACCTTTAAGAGAGCGTGGGCTATTTTTGGTTTGTAGGCCTTAGGAAGAGCCTATGTCGAGTAAGGCCATTATTGGATAATATGGTGAGCATCAATAGACTTGGAGAAACTTACTGATGATTCTCTGTTAAAGAAAAAGAGAACTGACATAGGGGATCTGGTCATCAGACCCTACTATAGGGATGAAGGGGATAATTGTTGCTATTATTCCAGTTGTTGGAGGGACAACTGATGAATTTGAAGGGCTTTTAGATGAGGAAAGTCACTCTCATGCCCCTAAGAGTGAGAGACAACACTTGGAATAATTATGATATGAATCATTTAATATATTATATTAATACTAGGGTATTCCCTGGAAGCTATGCGATGTATAGCTTGAATACAACAAGAAAAGTACAAGAGCTTTTGCATCAGTGCTCAAGTGTAGTGTTAAATAGGTAAGGGTTCTCACAACAGGGATGAATATGGGGAAAAAAGTTAATCCATGAACCTAAACTTAAGATAGGAAGTTGGAATATAGATTTCCTTGCAGGAAAATTAATGAAATTAATATATATTATAATTCATAGAAAGAAAATATTATGTACATTCATAAAATTAAATAGGTTTGAGAGAATGCTAAAAAAATTAATAGTTAAGAATTTTTACTATGATATTCTAGTATGAGTCATACTTAAAATGGTGGAGATGTGATTATAGATAAGAATTTGAATGATACTATTTTAATAATTATTAGAATTCAAGATATAATTGTTATAATCCAAGAGCTCAAGATTGTAATTTTGATGATAACAAATATTATTAAATTTTTATTTCTTTTTATATTATTTTTGCATATTTGTCTTATGCACATGAATATTTTAGGTAAATCATATACCATGCAGCAACAACGAATCAAGACTTAATACTAAGTAGAATAGGTTTGATGTTTTAGAAGAGCCTATATTTTTATTAATTTATTTTTTTATCTTTTTTAGTCAAATATTTTATAAATATTGTATGCCAATTTAGCAACCATACACTCACACATGAGGGAGTGAGAATTTAAATTTCAAATTTTCTGAAGTTCATGTTGTTGCATCTTAAATTTTAAAACTATGTTTTTATATCATGTGAGTTTTTGAATATACCAAAATATTATTTTGTTGATTACTATTTCTCCTAATATATATTAGCTATATTTTGTTTGTATTATTGATATGTACTAATATTTCAGGAAAATCATAATCTAGACTGTCGAAGACTTCAAGACAGATTAGATTAGGGTTTCTTGAAATTGAAGTCTATACTTTTTTTTTATTTTTCTTGAGTCTAAAAGAGTATGATTGTAATTGGGTAACAGTGCACTCACACACTAAGGGGATGACTCAATACTTTTATTTTTAAAACTAATTATATTGTACGATTCTTGAATCATACTGAACAATTTGACATATATGTTCCTCCAAAACAAAGTTAATCGAATCATGACTTGGAAATTTTCTTTTGAAATGTTCGTACTGTACGAAGTTGGATTCATACATACAACATCCAAAGTATGAAATGAATACGTATTAGTTTATCTCGAACAAACTCACCATTTTTTAACTGATCGTACTGTATGAAGTGGAGTTCATGCAGAAGACGTTAAGAGTATGAAATGAGTGCATACCAATTTATCCCACACAAATAGATAATTTTTTAAAATTGTTCGTACTTTACAAAGTTATATTCATACAGACAACTTCCAGAGTACAAAATGGATTCGTCCATATTCGTATCATATGAAGCATAATTTGATTTTATAGTATGGAATGTATGATTTTGAAATCATACAAATGATGACTAATGTATGAAATGCATTCATACAGAATTGTATCAGACGAACCAATTCATTTTTGAACTGTTTGTACAGTATAATGTCAGTTCGTACATATGATGGATAGAGTACAAAATCAGTTCATACATGATCATAGAAGGATTTTTTAAACTATTTGTAAGTATGAAGTATGATTTTACTATACGATCCAAGTACGTTCAACTTGAAATTTTTAGTTTTTGGACGTTTTTTCTGGTCTTTTATATTTTAAAGTCCTAAAAACTGACTATCCTACTACTTTTATAAATTTTCTCTTAGGAGTGATAGAGAGAGTGTTTTGGGAGAGTGTTTGGGAGTGAGGGTTGAGAGATCTTGCAAGTGGAGATTTGGAAGGGTTCACAAGGTTGCTCAAAGGTGAGGATCTCTTTGTATGTTCTTCAAATCTTTACCCTACTTCTTTGAAGACTCTTGAGAGAATATTTTTGGAGATATGGACCAAGACGGTGGGAAAGGATGTAGGTACTCTGGCATCCTAGGAGGGTAAGAAAGGATGTTTGTACTCTACAGTCATTAGGAGGTTGAGAAAGAATGTTGGTACTATATAGTCACCAAGTGGGTGAGAAAGGAAGTTAGTACTCTGCCATCACCAGGAGGGTGAGAAAGGATGTCGGTACTCTACTGCACCAGGGTTTGATGGAAGAGAGGTTATTGCAAGGGCTTCTCCAACTTGTTGTGGGAGAAAAATGAGAGTCACTTTAGTATAGTGCAATACCTGAATGAGTCTTCACGGAGTGGACTTAGGTCTAGTTGAACCGAACCACTATAAAATTGGTGTTCTTTTGCATTTATTTTTTAGTGCTTTTTATTTTTTGCACATACTTTTAGTGGTTAAACAATTTTTTTTGTGAAATTTATTGTTCTGCTAAAAATCTTAAATCGATTTTATGAAAATTTAAGAGAATTTTTTAAATTACCAATTCACCCCCCCCCCCTCTTGGTTAGCCTTGGGATAAATCTATTAGGTCTAACAAACTATTCAAACTTTTAAGTGGTATTAGAGACTACTTTTAAAAATTAAGGATTAGACAACTTTTTGAAAAATGATCATTGCTACTTTTGGAAACTATAACTCTAGAAGGATATTTGACCACAAGACTAGAATTGTTTAATAACATTCCTTTCAATTTTTGGAAAACCCATGTCTACTTTTCTTCAATTTCTTGACCATCACATGTGGATTTTAGTACATAAAGGCTACAGTAGACCCACTAGACTGTTTGATATTATTAGAATTGAAACACCATTTATTGATTGGACAATAAAGGAAAAGGAATTAGCTCAGTTAAATACTAAATTCTTAAATAGTTTTGTCTATGGCCTTAAATCTGAGGACTATATGTGTATTTCAACCTATAGAACTGGAAAAGAAATTTGGGATAGACTTTGCATAACATATGAAGGGACTAATGAAGTGAAATAGTAAAGATTGAATATTTTATTATATGACTATGAACATTTTTGCATGAAACTAAATGAATCAATAACTGACATGTATACTCATTTTATACAGATAGTCACTTAATTACATGCTTTAGGTAAGGACTAATTAATTTTGAAAAAGTTAATAAAATTCTATATTGTTTACATATCATTTATGATGCAAAGATAACAATCATAACTGAATCAATAGACCTAACTGTTTATTCTATTAACAATTTGCTTTAATCACTGATTTTTTTACGAGCAATAAGTGACTGTAACTAATCATATTAGACTATCTATAATTTGTACTGTATGATCTAATTAGTAATCTTGAATTAATCATAATAGATTTCATTCATTGATATTTGAACTGGTCAAGATCATACTATATGAACACTATCGATTGACTTGAAAAATAATGGTTTTTGGAGCCTGTTGTGTCAAATTATATGTGAGAGTTTTTCTATACGAAAGTGTTTGAAGATGAAGCTTTGATCTTGTAAGAAAAAGGTGAGGTTTTAAGAGATAAGATTCTTGTGAGATGAAGGAAGTGTGTAAGAGAGGTTCTACAGATGGTTTCTCCATGAACATTTACCATCTTCCTCCAAAAGTTATTATTTTGGTTAAGCGTAACTCAAAGAAAAGGCTTGTGGTGTCAAAAGATCTGGATACTTTATTTCATTGGGCTGGGATTTAAGGTTATATGCCTCACCAAGAAATGAAAAGGATTTCAAGTTCTCTACCACACCAAGAGGGTAAAAAGGATTTAGGTTCTCAATCGCATCATAGAAGGGTGGAAGTTATTTTGTAAGGGATTCTCTATCTTATTTTGGGAGCTAAAGGAGTGTCACTAAAAGGTTTAGTGCAATACCTAGAGATCATGACTTTGAGGACTGTACGTAGGTCAAGATTGACTAAACTGCTATAAAATTTTTGGCAAGTTTATTTCTTTTTCTTTAGAAGTTTTACTTTTCACATTTTTAATTATTGAATATTTATTTTCTTACAAATCTAGGATAAAAGTATTGTGATTTATTTGGACTAATTTTATTGAGCAAGAAAAAATAAAAAAAAAATCTTAAAAATAAAAAGAATAAAAATATTTTTAATCCTTTTTCAATTAAATCTAAAATTCAAATTTCACTTGGTTCTTTGATATTTGCTTCCACTTGTGTATTTGGTTAACATCTTTTTTAAAAAGAAAAGGCTAATAAAAGAAATTTTTAAATAACCAATTCACCCCCTCGCCACCCCCCCCCCCCCCCCCCCCCCCCCCCCCTCACTTCTTTGTGTGGTATTGGGAAATTAAATAAGGTTTAACAACCACATTTAAACTTTTATTTGG